TAACTGTGGCCACATCCATAGTTACTCTTAAGGAAAACCGGACTATGACCTCTTCTGATAATTTGTTTTGCACTGAATTCGGTCTGGCCAAACAATTTCAAGTGACGGAGTCGATAAGAATTGAATGACAGTTTTTGAAACTGACTAAAGCATCGCCCAGCGCGTGAACCTCTACCTTGGCTACGGTTCGCATTGAGCAGAATTTAAGCCCTCACGGTTCCTTACCCCCCCCCCCCCCCCCCCCCCCACAGCGTCTGCCACCCGCGACCGATGCAGGATAAGGTGATATTTGGCGCTTTGCTGTCAGTTGTGGCGCACCTGGACGGGTTCGAGGTCCGCAGGCGTGTTGCCGGCAGGTGTTCGCCGGCGCCTCACAGCGGGTTTCATGTTCTCTGCCTCGGTTGCTGAGATCCGACATCGATCCTAAAAAACACGTGAAAACAAGCGGCTCCATGAGCGGGCATTCATGACCGCCGTGATCAGCCGGACCGTGAAACGCTGCGGCACTCATAGCTCTCCCAGATTCTGGTGCAATGCACCGCTGACATGTTACCTTGAAATCCCAGTTGGTACTCACGCTGGAAGGGCTGTAACGAATAGTTTGCAAAGGGTCTTGTATGTTAACGCATCTGCAAAATATCTTGGTGAGGCTGCTTTCAAAGAATTTATTATTTCATACCGGACCCCCTCAGTATTTGCGATTGGCGGAAGGAATGCAACTGAGCATTACTGCATCCAGATTCCATGGCGGCCATTTCTTATATACTTAGTCGTGACCGTGCAGTATTGTATGTTGCTTGAAATTTTTGGAAGGAATCAACAACACGCTTTGTGTTGTAGCGAGACGGTACGCGAAATTAACATGTGCACACATCGACCCGCCGTTTTGCTGGTACCATTGTCTGTTTTCTCCCCCGTTGCTATTAGTCTGAGGTCGCTTGCATAACCCATCGCTGAGATCTGGACCCGCTGCATTCGTTCTTGAGGGCTTTTGCGATTGGAATGTTGTAAGTCCCACCTGAATTGAAAAGTGTGGTAAAACATCGGCGATATTGCGACGTGGCGGTATTGCGGCCCCCTGACCGCATAGCTTCCACTCGAATGACTTGAGAATATTGCAGCAGAATTCTTACATATTTGTATTGCTTTTTGTTACAACCATGTGTTGTGGGACAGGGTCGGAATCGACCCCGCCCAGGACGAGACAAACACAAATCTGGTAAAGACCCGTCGGTTCGCAGTCTGGTTCGTGGCCACAGCGAACCTGTCTTATGACTACACCTGGTGTCTGTGTTGTGCTGTTGGTTTCTTGACAATGAAGGAAAGAGTAGCAATGATCAAAATGGCTGCGCGGTATTTCTTCTGACTGACGGATGAGACACGAAATATGCTTTGTCCATCTCGACATTTTGCAGGTTCACGTGTCTTGTAAAATGCAGACCGTCGGTAAAAACAGAACAAGACAGTCGAGAAGGTACTTCGATCCGGTTGCCCTGCCTTCCGTGCGCAGGTGTTCCCGAAACCACCACGGAAATCGTAATTCCTCAGCTGCATACCTACGTCTCTAATCTCGTAGTTTTGGAACGTCTCGAATCGAACGTCTCGTTCTCAGTCAGTTGCTGGTCTCATAGTGACTGTATGGCCACGAAGTCGCACAGCTGGCGGTGTTTTCGATGGCAGCTCTGCGACATGCCCCTGTTCGGGATCCCTGAGAGCCGGGTCGCCCTCCCGTGCCGTTGCTCGGAGACGAGTGCAGCTGCACTGCAGAGTTGAATGGCTCCGGCCGGCCGGCCCCGTAAGGCAAGCTCTCAGTGACGCCCGGCGCGTTATTGAGAGCTGCACGCAACAGCTCGGGGACGCCGTTCGGCCAGCGCGTTATTGAGAGCTGGACGCAACAGCTCGGGGACGCCGTTCGGCCAGCGCGTTATTGAGAGCTGGACGCAACAGCTCGGGGACGCCGTTCGGCCAGCGCGTTATTGAGAGCTGGACGCAACAGCTCGGGGACGCCGTTCGGCCAGCGCGTTATTGAGAGCTGCACGCAACAGCTCGGGGACGCCGCCCGGCCAGCGCGTGAAGCATGTGATCTCGGCGCGCTTCCCCGCGCCCGACGCCACCGAGTGTTGGTTACGCTGGTGCGGCTCTGAAGAAAGTAGAGCGGGGAGTAAATATAAGGGTAGTGGATACAAACTCGCCATGGAGAAATGAATAGGTTTTGTCAATAAGAATGCGATTCCTTACTTGGTACAGTTCTACAGCCCGCGAGGCTCGGGCTGCGTTCGCTGACTGCAGAAGGGAGATCGCCTGTGTTGTGTTCCTGTATACATTCCGTTATCACTATAAAGCGTTCATGCTACAGAGGCGTGATAGCGCCCCGTGAGCAGGTGTCCCAGCATGCGGTCTCTCTGGATCGCCATGGGGCACCGATCGACACGACAGATCGGTAGTCGAATGACATGTTTGCGCGCCCGGCTGCATAAACGGCTGCCCGGTTAGCGGCGGCGCCAGACATCGATCAGTGAGCAGGCCGGCCGCCCTGCCCCATGTGTTGGCTGGACGTGATTGCCAGCCGAGCCATACAGTCTGCTGCTGCACAGCCGTCCTGTTTACCATACCGGGACACGATGACCGCTGATGGACAGGTGATGCTTGACAGCTGCATTTTGTTCAGCAGAGGCAGGGCAGTGGAAACTGTCCATGCCATGACTAGAACGGCTTTATTTTTGCCGTACATGTGTAGAACAGAGGCCAGTAGGTTTGTCCTAGGAAATGTGAGCTTACATGTTCATTCTATCGTGAACAACAGGTATTTCACCAGCCTGCAATGTGCCTTGCAAAACTTGTTTTAGGAAATGACGCAATCAGATGTCTTGCCGGAGAAGACTTAAGGTGTACATATGTATATATATATATATATATATATATATATATTTATATCTAATTATTTATGTATTTTAACACACCTATATACATATATACATATATATTTAAATGGCAAAGTTATATTTCATTACCGAACGAGTTAATGATGTAGCCTTGGAATGCTGGGTGTACATTGTATGAGTGGTGTTTCGCAACATTTGTAGTACAAACATTGGGTGAGCGTTTCTGCGGATAAGAAGAACAAGGCTATCACGAATCAGAACTTAGAGGCGTGGGAAGCACTAATTCTCGTTAGAAAGCGGAGCCATGACGCGAAGAAAATTTCCAGATCACTTACACAGCTGTCACCTCGATCTTGCACTTATGTTATATATCAGTGATACCAGGTGGCACGCCCGTGGTGGCTCATGAATGGCGTTGTCCGTGTTCAGGCTGTAGTTCTCATGGCCAGTCGTTGGCGTCTTAGGGGACGCGCCGACCGCGGAGATCACGGCGTTAAGGGGCTGTTACTGACTGGGAGGGCAGACACCACTAGCGGAGCAAGGATTCGGACAGCCGGCGGGGCGTCGAGGACGGCGCGGGTCGTTACGCGGTGCTCTCGCGCACAGCCGGCCGGACCAGTGCCCCCAGCCCTGACGTCCCCAGCCTCACCCTGGCCGTGTGGCGCAGCGGCCGTGGACGTGGGCGGTGGCGCTGTGGGCCCTGGCCGTCGCCACGGACAGCCAAGGTCACTGTGAGGTCGGGCCGCCCTAGCCACGGCCGCCATGGAAGCTCGCGGAATTCAGTACGCGTCAGGGCTCAAGCCCAGCAAGGAACGCGTCCCACGGGAAGTGAGGGGCGTCCGCGTGCTAGGTCTTGGCTACTGCCACTGTCATCGGGCCTGGTGCAAAGGGTGGCTCGTGTGGACCCTCCTATCAACGTTCAAACGCTAGATAAGCTTCAACCGTTCTCAACGGCTTTGGACGCCGGGAACGGAGACCGTTGTGCGCAGCACAGCTTCAAACCTTGCGGACGGGTTTACCCTCCCGTTCGTTTGGGTTCACGTTCGTTGGGTTCACGCTCGTTGGTTTCGGCGCCGTCTGATAAATGGAGCCGTCCAAGCTGTGCGTCTCGCCAGACTGTCCACAGTCTTACGCGGCGATATAGCGATATAGCTGTTCATTACATTGAAGCGGGCGTAATGGTCCGCTCAAGTCGCCGGCTCCTCCATTAATGCCTTTCCGAGGTGAACGCCGTCCGAGTCTGTCCTGCTGTGTGGCCCTGCAGAGCTGTCACCGGCCCGTGGGTGGCGGCGGCCGGTCGGCCGGTGCTCGCCGTGGCCTGGGGATGAACGGACGGCGAGCGCGGCCTCCCGTCGCCCGGAACCGGTCCGCCGGAATGGCCGGGCGCCTGGCGCCGTCCTCGGTCGCCTCGGCCCGCCGGCTTGTGGCTGCCGCGCGCGCTGCAGCTTGTGCGGGCTTTGACCGACCCGTTAGTCGGATTGGAAGCGTCACGCACACGCGGGACCGCTGGACGGACTAGGCCCAGAGGGGCGGGCGGCGCGACCGTTGGCCCTTAGGCTCAGTTCGGACGCAGCTACAGCCCACCGCCCACTGCTGCTTGCGTGCTGCAGCCTGGAATGCTGTAGAATAGCGTGTCATGGCGGGCCTGCGACGGACGCTGGTTTGAAGATTGCGGCTGTCGGGGCTAGCGCCGTTCGACAGCGGACGGTTTTTGGCAAACCAGTGTCGGGAACCAGCCGAGCCTGGCAGCTCGGCCGGCCTAGCCTGTGCGTCATGAGAGGAGCGACACCGTGCATGTTGGCACGAAGTTTTTTGCGGGATTGTTGTCTGCTGATCGACGCAGCAGGTTAGAGTTGATCGCTAGCATGGGGCGTGCGACTAGTTGCGTTTGGCTAGTTGCATTTGACCAGCGCGGTTTAAGTGCACAGCTGCGCCGTGGCTGTCGTGGCTTTTCGAACGAAGAGTAGAACAAGTCGGTTTTTCGACGCCTTCCGAGTTGGCCAGGCGTTTTTTTTTTGTGTCCGCGCGCTGTTGACTGAACGCTCCGTCCCGTTTCTCCGCAGTTGACCGGAGGCGCTCATCCGACGGCGGCTGACCGGCCCCGCTCGTCTATTACAGGTGCATTTGCTGCGGGACCAGCTGAAGGCCGAGACGACGGCGAGACTGGAGGCGCAGACGCGCACGCACCAGCTGCTGCTGCACAACAAGGAGCTTTTGGAGCACATCAGGACGCTGGTGACGCAGCTGCGGCTGTCGGAGCATCCGCCGCCGGCTCCCGTCAGCAGCGACAGCCGGTCGGCCAGCGTCGAGGACCTGAAGGCGGGCGCGTCGGGCGCCTCGTCGATCGACGCCGGCCTGGGCAGCAGCTCGGTCAGCGCCGCCGCCGAGCCGCCGGCCAGCCTGCTCGGTCGGCTGGCGCGCGGCGCCTGGGCCCGCCACACCACCACCTGATGAGGGGGCGGACGGTGACCGTCACCCAGTGAGGAGGTCCTCACCGCTTCCTCTGTGCGAGCCGTGACTGGCGGAGCTGTGGGGCACCGGCCGACGGTGGTCGGCGACGCATCTGGCCACGGACTGACGGGGGCCCGCGCCGCCTCCTGATCACGGACTGGCGTGATGCGTCCCGCGGCACACGAGTCGGAGCGTGGCCGACATGGTCGGGGTGAGGCGCACCGCCCCGCCCCCCCCCCCCCCCCGGGCGTCCGCACTCTCTGCCATACTGACACTCGCACCCCCGAGCAGCGGCGGCGGCGGCGGCGGTGGCCGGGAGGCGCCGCTCGTGCTGTCCCGGTGCGCGCCGGGGGGCCGCACCGGCGGCGCCTCTGTGTATCCGTCGGTGGTGTGGTGCGAGTGCACGCGAGTGTGGGCGCGGAGGAGCTGCGTCTTCCTGGGAACGTGACACGCACCTGAGCCTGGCGGCCTGAGCCCCCACGCCGTGTGGGCTGGAGGCGGCGGGTTGTCGTTGCTGCCGGACATAATCATTGACGTTGATCTGATGTAATGCATTTCCGAGAGCTGAGTGGCGCTCAGTATTTTCTGAAGGTAGTCGTTTTCCCTGAACAAAGGTCCGGACGACAGTAGCGAGTCGTGGACCCAGCCATTCTTGCGTATCATGCATAGTACATACAAACGAAACATTCCATCCGATGTCAGGTCGTCGCATGCCCGGAGGACATGTGTCGCTGTTGCTGTTCTGTGTAGCGTGTGATTAAGTTAATAGACGTCCCAAGCTGTGACCAGCTGTTTCCCGCGCCTTCGCGGAACGCGGGTAATTCCTCAGCGGACGACGGGCGCGAACGTCGGAATCGATTTAGCGCGAGCTTCTCCAGAGCAGCTGCGCCGCCCCGTGGTCGGACGGGACCAGACCTGACGGCGTCTGGCATGTACTCATCTCACACCGCGCCGGCCCGGCAGAAAGCTGCCGGCGCCTTTCGTTTCCGTCGGCTCCGTCGCTAACGATGCGTCGACACAGGCTGAATGGCCTCGTCTAACGCCGGCGAGCGGCTCCGTGACGCCGGCTGCCGGGGACCGCGCCCGACGGCGCCCTAATGAAGCGAGACTTATTAGTCCCATCTTCGGCGGGAATCGATGCGTCGCGGCCGACGCGACCACGCCATCTGGCGTGCAGGCTGGCAGCTGAGGTTGGCGGCGTCGCCGGGAGCGGGGGACGCTTGCCCGCCGGGCAGGCGGCGCTGGCGGTCCGTACAGCGAGCCGACGGCTCAGGGACGGAACCGACTGATGAGGGATTGCACAGACTGGAGAGGGACGGGACTGACTGGAGAGGGACGGGATCAGCTGGAGAGGGACGGGATCAACTGGAGGCTGCGACACCAGAGAGGAGCGGAACTAAGTAAAGAGGGATGGGACGCACTGGAGAGGGACGGGATGGGCTGGGGAGAAGCGGGACTGACTGGGGAGGGGCGGGACTGGGTGAAGAGGGACGGGATCAACTGGAGAGGAATGGGATTGGTAGGGAGGGGCGGGACTGGCTGGAGAGGGATGGGATAGGCTGGGGAGAGGCGGGACTGACTGGAGAGGGGCGGGATCAGGTGGAGAGGAATGGGATTAGATAGGGAGGTGTGGGACTGACTGGAGAGGGACGGGATCAATTGAAGGGTGTGGCACCAGAGAAGAGCGGAGTTAACTGAAGAGGGCTGGGACGGACTGGAGAGGGACGGGATCGGCTGGAAAAATATAGGATTCACTGCATAGGGATGAGACAGACTGGAGGGAACGGGACCGGCTGGAGAAAGACGGAACCGACTGGAAGGAATGGGGCGAATAAAGTGGGACAGAACCAGTTGGAAAGGTTGGCGCCGTGTGGAAAGGGACGGGATCTATTGGAGAGGGGTGGGATCTATTGTAAAGGGGCAGGAACTATTCGAGAGGGACGGAACCGTCTGAACAGGGTCAGGGGCCATTGGAGAGAGACAGAACCGTCTGGAAAGGGACGAGTTCTATTGGAGGGGAATAGGAGCTGTTGGAGAAGAGCAGAACCGTCCGGAAGGGTTCAGAATCTATTGGAGGGAGAGAGAGAGCGGGAGGAGAGCACCAAAGAGAGAGAGAGAGAGAGAGAGAGGGGGGGGGGGGGGAGGGGAGAGAGAGCCGTTTGGGAACGGACAGGATCCATTGGAGAGAGATGGGATCTGTTGAAAAGGGACAGGATCTATTGGAGAGGGATGGGGCCGTCTGGAAAGGGACGGGCTTGCCTGAAAACGGATGAGGCCATCTGGAAAGGGCCAGTATCTGTTGTAGAGTCATGGAGCCGTCTGGAAAGGGACGGAGTTTGCTAGAGAGGGCTGGGGCCGCACGGAGGATGAACTGACTGGGAACTGAATCGCCCAGTGTAACGATCGCTGCACTCTGCGGACCGCCTGGAGCAGACGGAGCAGCGCGACTCAAACGTGGCGATGTATCGGGTCGCTGTTGGGAGGTGGTAATGACTTGAACGCTCTGGCTCCTGTGGCCAGATTATTTACCCTCGACCCGAGATGAGCTGTCGCATGCAATTTGCTGCCGCCTGGATGTAACTGATGGTACGTAAGTGCAGAAACCCGCTCCGGCCGACGAAGGAGGGAGCTTGGTAAGCCAGCACGAGCTTGCAGGAATGAGGTGGATGCGGCTCAGATGCGGAGCTGGAACGTGACGCACTACCTGGCGTTGAACAAGGAAGAAAGGGAAGGGACGGGCTGCTGCGGGGAACGCTTGATGTCACAGATTAAGTGCGCTGTAGGAGCAGATTCTGGTAAACCCAACGGTGCTGCCTTCTGTTACAGTGATCCATGAGGGCTGGTGTGTACTTACCAACATGGTTCGCGCCGGAAGTAATGCCTTAGCTATTGACATTGCATTCACACGGGTCCTGGCCCGAACGCTCCCCTGCTAGATATTAATTGTATGATTGTCTGCCAGGTAGGTCTAATCTGATGATGCTAATGATGACGATGATAATGATAACGATGATGATATGTATTTAAGTGTTACCACAATGAATTTACAGCATTCGCATCAATGTACATACAGTATACATGCGTTTAAAAACATCGCAGATAAAGGCAGTACACTAAAAACATTACGAATAAAAAGGCCCCCCGCAGCGCAAGTTACACTCACTACACTGCCATATAGGTGGTCAGGGTACCTTCGAGGGCCGCGTCGATCGCGGCCGTTGACGCACGCACATCTGCAGGCAACACGTTCCATTCGTTAGACGCACGGAGACACGAACGGCGTACGCCCAAGCTCAGTCCGGACACCCGACAGCAGTGACAGCTGGTCGGTTCGCAGCGTCAGTGGTTCGGGCCGACACATTATAGTGGCTCAGGCGGACACATAATGGCTCGGGTGGACACAGAGTGGCTTGGGCTGACACAGAGTGACTCGGGTAGACACATTAGAGTGGCTCGGGCGGACACATTAGAGCGGCTCGGGCGGACACATTAGAGTGGCTCGGGCTGACACAGAGTGACTCGGGTGGACACAATAGAGTGGCTCGGGCGGATACAGAGTGGCTCGGGTGGACACAGAGTGACTCGGGCGGACACATTAGATTGGCTCAGGCGGACACATTAAAGTGGCTCGGGAGGACACATCAGAGTGGCTCGGGAGGACACATCAGAGTGACTCGGGTGGACACAGAGTGACTCGGGCGGACCGGGAGGTACACATCAGAGTGGGCTCGGGCGGATACAGAGTGGCTCGGGTGGACGCAGAGTGATTCGGGCGGACACATTAGGTTGGCTCGGGCGGACACATTAGAGTGGCTCGGGAGGACACATCAGAGTGGCTCGGGAGGACACATCAGAGTGGCTCGGGTGGACACAGAGTGACTCGGGCGGACACATTAGGGTGGCTCGGGCGGACACATCAGAGTGGCTCTGGCGGACACCTTAGATATGGCCAACTGCACGCTCACGTAGCAGCTAAGGCGAGTGGGGGGTGTGGGATATCTCGAAGGAGTGAGATACTGCGTCCACATATTGACTCGTGTCGACTTTGCGCCAGCCTAGTTCACGCAGCGCAGGTGTCACTGGGTCGCGGCACCTGACATTTATACCGATACGGGCGCCGAAGTTGAAGGACCTTTCGCACCCGACGCTTCTGTGTCACGTTGCGGCTTCCTTTACGGACATGCAGCATCACACGCGGGAAAAACGAGCGCTTCGGTCAGCAGCCACGCGTTTGGCTTCCTTCAGCAGGTGGCGAGGCCTCCGAGCGGGCCCGGGGGGGAATGCCGCAGCAGCGTTTATCGCTCTCGTCGTTGGCGTTTTTCATCGGCGATATCCAAGGATTTTCGAGGAAAAGCTCTGCAAGAGTCGAAGCGCTGAAGGTTAGCGGCGGGCTGTCGGGCAGTATATCTTTGCCTCCATCTTCGGCAGTAATTAATGGATCCCTGCGGCCTTGCATTGAGTGAAAGGAGGGAAGGACCACGGTTGTCCCATTGCCCAGCTCTCCCGCAGTGTGGCCTCCGCTGCCGTACAAGACAGCTGATTTCCTGCTGTGGTCGATTGTAGCAAACACGCACTTTTATCGCACGAGTAAACATCGTGAAGGCCATAGCAGACGTTTAATGATAGTAAAGCAAGAGGCGGCAATGGTGGCAGCATGCAAAGGAATA